CTTCTTCCCCCGTCTCCCCTCAGTCGTCCCTCGCCATCTCACGGACGCATTTCTTTTGGTTCTTCAGAGCCTCTTCAGCCGCCCGTCACCATGGAGACGGGGCCTGCCCCTAGTAACCGAGCCTACTCCCACAAACCAGGGATCGGCACAGGGCCCTGGCAGGAGCAGCTTCCTTGCCCACCGTGGAGAATGTTTCCAGTATCCACACGCGCACAGTCAACCTTCAGCATGCAGTACTGCTGCCAGCTATCAGTCACCATCACCAGACACCCATAACACATTGACTAGTCCTCCAGAGAAACCCAACAACGGCCAGACAGAGAGAGCTGACATGGAAGATGACAACGGGCATGAAAACTGACAGAGATAGTAGGAACTGCCGATGCTGGAGAATCTGTTATAGGAAAATTGACAGGCGTTTACACAAGTTGGTCCACTGCCACAACCATGCTTTTTTTCAAAAAGGTGGTGTCTCAATGATTCAGTAGTATAGAACTAGTCAGAAAGATGCCCCAGCCCCAGTCAGTCAGAAAAGAACAGCAAGGGGTTGAGGTAAATAAAAAGGTGACATAAAAAAGGCCTCAGTTGATGGTACTCTCCACCTCAGAATTTGAATGCTGTGGGTTTGCGTCACGACTTGAGAAAAGATCGTACAAATCTCAAAGTTGGCTCCATGGTGCAGTACTAAGCCATTGCCCTTTCATGTAAAACATATGAAGAGATGCTAAGTTCCTTTTTCACCATTTTGAAGTGTGGGGAAGTGACCAAACTGACTGAACACATCTGATCAAGATCAAATTGCTCTTTGTCAAAGCTGGTTTGTACCTGCCTGTAAAGTACTGCAGCAGACCTTGGGTTCACAATAAATGCTGAATGAATGCAAGCTTTTTTTGCTTTACTGAGATGGACAATTAAACATGAAATAACTTGAACATACTAACAACATCTTCGAATTGTGTTTGAGCACAATTTTTACTGAAGCTACACAAATTTATTTTAATCTGCATGATATTTTATATTGGGGAGGAGTAGGATTTCATCTAACTCTGACTTCAGGCTTCAATCATTCAGTGTTGAACATGTGCAAAATGAAATTTTACATCGATGCAAATTAAAGTATGATGACATTCTTAAAAGATCAATGCCAAAATTATAACTATTTTCAGTCTTGCAGAACAGCAAAAAGCTAGAATTGTATTTGCAATTTGGAACTGTTCCACATATAAAATTTCTCCTTCCAAATCCCTGGGGCAGAGCTCTGGAGCACAGCTCATATTCTCATGAGATATTTCAAATATTAAATCATATTTCCTTCAAAATACTTTTGGACCTGTCAGAGTAAACAAGAAGTCAAGGAAGGTCCCAGTTCAGAATCCAGATGACAAGATTTAATTAAGGCCAGACAACCTCACTGCTTGTATACGGTTTGTCATCTTCAAGCACTTAATCCTTCATCTCCTGAACAACTTCTTTTGCAAGGGGCAGTTATGCTTGAGCCATAAGCGTTATAAGTGTTGTTCTGCAGGTAAAGGATGCTTGAGATATCGATTACCACAAAGATTGATTTGTCTCCTTTCAACAAGTTGATTCTTGGATTGCATGGCCTTCTGGGGAATGTTTGGTGCTACCCTGATCCTGTGAAAGTTGAACACATTGCTAAAAATTGGTCTTGATGCATATTAATAGAACTAATTTATTTGAGATAACAAGGTGTAGAGCTGGATGAACACAGCAGGCCAAGCAGCATCAGAGGAGCAGGAAGGCTGACGTTTCAGGCCTAGACCCTTCTTCAGAAATTTATTTGCTTTTGTTGAAAGGGTCAGAAACACATGTGTAAAATCTGTAGTTAGAAATTACAACTTCTTCCCAGGCAGATGATCTTTTTGTGGTTTGCTTCAAGTGGTAATCGTGATTTTTAGATTGTCGGCATTAGTCTGGTATATGGAAATCATTGAGTATTTCCTTCCTGCAGAGTTGCAACATGCTCAATCAGCACAAAATATTTGTTGATGATTATAGTCTGTCAAGTCTCCTGAATTAGAATGTGCTAAGTGACATTTTTCAGCATAATTGACATTATTCAGATTCAAGAGTTTAGAATTCTTCATGGTTCTCTTCTTCGTATTCAAGTATAGTGCAACAAGCACATGACCAACTTGCATTAAATCTAAGAGGCAAAATTGCAGTGAATTGCTGTAAAAAGCGACATTTCGATGCCTTTACTCTTGACTCATCAGGATTGAATTGCAATACCAAATTTCAAATAAGGAAACACAAATTAACTAGTGGGGAATCCCCATGGCAATACGTTGACCAGGGTTGCATCGTTGCAATTTAAACAAAGACCAAGGATCATTATTGACTTCTCCATAACTAGTGTCTCACTGAATCCACTTTCCAGTCACCACTGTTCTCAAGCAATTTAAATTGTTGCTCCTTTGTTGAAATTTGGTCATCTTTGCAGTTCTATCCTGGTGAGTACAAGACACAAAGCTTTGACAGCATGTCTCTTTTTCCAAAAATTATCAAGTTCAGTGCAAAGCAAATATTTGAGTTTGTTTACTATATCCATTTCACTTCTGAAATTTTTCATCCATTGCCAGAACTGTTAAATGGCGGGATTGGCTTCAAAGTCAATTGATGACAAGTTTCACTGTGATGTTCCAGTGTTGGCCGCTTCAATTTGTTGACCAAAAGAAAATTGGTCTACCTGTAAATGAACGGCATCTGTAAAATGATACGTGCAATACAGGGTAAGGAACAAAATCTCTCTTTCCAGGAAACAGGAAATAATCTGCTTTGGTTTTAGAATGCAAATGTTGAAAATAAAACAAACACAGAAAATGCTGGATAAACTCAGCAGGTTTGGCAGCATGTGTCCATTTCATTTCTGAAAAGAAAGCAACATTTAACTTTAGAGTCTGATGTGCCGTCTTCAGAATTGAAAAGAGTCACAAAATGGTGTTTTTCATATACTTTTGACAGAGGTGGGAGGAGGAGCAAGGAGAACAGATGGCGTGAAGGTTTACTGCAAAAGGCAAAGGAATTGCTAACTGGGGTGAAAGAAATGCGTATAAAGTGTTTGCAAGGGTGGAAGTGGGTTCTAGCAGCTTATGACTAAGTCAACAAGACACACAAATGATGTAGAAACATCGAAGATAGGAGCAAGAGGAGGCCATTTGGCCCTTCGAGCCTGCTCCGCCATTCGTCCAACTCAATAGCCTTATCCTGCTTTCTCCCCATAACCTTTGATCCCATTTATCCCAAGTGCTATATCTAGCCACCTCTTGAATACATTCAATGTTTTGGCATCAACTACTTCCTACGGTAATGAATTCCACAGGCTCACCACTCTTTGGGTGAAGAAATGTCTCATCTCCATCCGAAATGGTCTACCCCGAATCCTCAGATTGTGACCCCTGGTTCTGGACAAATCCACCATTGGGAACATCCTCCCTGCATCTATCCCGTCTAGTCCTGTTAGAATTTTAAGTCTCTATGAGATTTCCCCCATCATTTGCCTGAACTTCAGCGAAAAAAATCCTAACCTAGTCAATCCCTCCTCATATGTAAATCCCACCAGCCCCGGAACCAGCCTGGTGAACCTTTGCTGCACTCCCCTGAGAGCAAGAGCATCTCTTCCTCAGAAAAGGGAAAAGAATCTAAGAAAAATGGAGAACAGATGTCACAAAGTCAGGCTCTCAAACTGTGGATTTTAATACTGAGGCTGTCAATTGCCGAACTGGAAAATGAGTTGTTGCTCCTTCAGCATGTGTTGTGCTTCATTGGAACATTGCTCTGAGCCTGCTGCAGCATAGTTTATTGAAATGGCTGGAAGGTCAGGGTCATTCTTCTGGACAAAGCAGAGCTGGTCCACAAAGCTCACCCAATCTACGTTTGGTCTTGCCAATGTGATGGAGATATACTTTTGACAGAAGTGGAGGAGGAGCAAGGAGAACAGGTGGTGCGAAGGTTTACTGCAAAAGGCAAAAGAGTTGCTAAGTGGGGTGAAAGAGAAATGCATATATATGCATAAAAGAACATACAATAAACCAGGTTGAACAAAGTACAGGTAAAACACTGCTTCATTTGGAAAGTGTTTTTAGAGCCCTTGGACAGTGAGGGAGGTGGAGAATGGGCAAGTGTTATACTTTCAGTGATTGCACAGCAAGATGTCCTGGTCGGGGGGCGGGGGAATGGACAGAAACAGTAAACAGCGAAGCAAGAATGGACTAGGGTGTCATGGAGGGATTATAAACCTTGAAGCAGTCACTCAAAGTAAACATAACTTTCAGAAACTTTGTCTATGCAGAAATATTTAATTACATAAAATATGCTGATTTTCTCAAACATTAAAAGCCGCTTTCCATTAAATGACTTTTGCTTTCCAGGCCTCAACAATGTGGGTATTGAAAAAAATATTAATGACGCTAACAATTGTCACTGTTCTATTAACATTTATTTATTCGTGGTTGACATTTAAGATGTTTTAATATTTTGAGTTTCAAACCAAATGATCTTTATACACATATCAGAATTTATGGAATGCACAGAATATAACACAAAAGTAAACTTACAAGTAACACTGAACAACTAAACAATGTGTACATCTCATGAAAGTCAACGCAGAATAAATGCAATCAAAAAATCTGCATGAAACACAGTTAGATACAATCAGAATTAGTCTCTGATGCACTCACAAGGGCTCTAACTGAAAGGACCACAAGTCCACAAGCAATACTGAGGCAGTCTGAGCACAAGGAAAATCTCAATTGAACACAGAAGTCATTGATCGAGACAGCATGGAAGGGCAACTGTCCTCACATTGCACACAAATTTTAAAAAAGTGCTTCCAGTTTCATGCAGAATGCTATACAAAAAGCCTGTATTTTCCAAGCTATTTACCAATACATTCAGTTACATATATTGGTAAAGACCACACTATGCTCCAAGTACCTTGATCCATCTCCATCCAAGTCCAAACACAGCAGAACCTCAGACCAGATCCAGACAAAGAAAGGATGGAACCGGATTGCCAGATCGCCTCAGGTTGCCTAACATGTTACAAACGCCTGTTCTTCAACAGAGATAATCAAATATGTAAACCACCGTAAGTTCAAAGGGATTGCACAAAAAAATGCAAATTAAAAGTACTGACAAGTCTGTTCTACTTTTGGTCTTATCACTTGCTTCAAGAATCAGGATTCGGGCAAAATGCAAAAATACTAACTGCAAATGCTGACAGCCCTTAATAATTGTAGCAGGTACAGTACAGCAACTATCTGTGGTGTCTAAGAGGTATACCAGATGAAGCATTCCACAAATCTTGTTAGGTGCCAATTCAGAAGTATAGATCAATTCCCAAAAGACATTCTGTATGAAGTCAGCAGCTGCCTCATCTCTGCTACAAGATATACTTATAAGAGAGCAAGTCATTTACTGTTATGGACAAGTAGGTGAACAGAAGAAACTAAAATGTTTCTTCTATGTGAAATGAACATCTATCCCACCCTCATAGGTCAATAAAGTAGTCTGAGCAACATCCAAAGAAATCAACAGGATGGAAGAATTCATTTCTTCACACCACTGCAAAGAAACCAAATTTTTCATGTGAGAATGTTAAGTTGCAAAATAATTAATTGCTTCTGTTGTTCACTGGATATTATCAACTGGGATCATTAATTAACACATTACTTAGTGGAAGATACATATCAATTATCAATTAATAGTCATAAGTTGCCTATGACAGATAGGCAACCAGTTCAGCACCTTTACCATACTTTAAAACACAATGGCAATGAGTCAATAATTCACAAGAGAGCCTCTCCGAAATATTCACAAACCCATGGTTGTAACCAAGATGCAAGACTGCCTTGCTCAGAGGCCTGCATTACCAGCAGACTCTGCTAAGATAGATGCTCCAAATCCAACTCAGGATCAAAGATCTCAAAATAATCACAAGCAGAATCACAAATGCTTGCTTTGTTCAAATACCAGAGTTTCCAAGAGTTAAAACATCACAGGAAATAAATAGGTCACATGACAAAAAAAAACATTAATGCTGCACGCCAAGTTAATGCTTGGCACCCGAGTCCCTTGGGTAGAACTCTGCCAGGATGCTCTGTGGGATTCGTTTTAGCATCTCCTTGGGGAAGATTCGCAGCAACTGCCAGCCAATGTCCAGGGTCTCATACACAGTGCGATTTTCGTAAGCTCCTAAAGAGACAAAGTCAGAAAGCTAAAGATTCCTTTGCGAAAAAACAAGATTCTCCAGGGCTTGGAATATACAGGTCAAAGCTTTTTATAAAAAATCAAAACAACATGCAATTATTTACATACATACATGATCTCTCCTTGCATTCCTGGGATTTTGGTGAATTTACAACCCATTGTTACATAGGGCAGATATCAATGGTTCATCTTCCAGGAGAGAATGTGTCAGAAATCATTGTTCTCCACAACCATCAGGGTTACTTACACATGGCAAGAGGTTAGGCTACGTGCAGCATTCAATGCCACCCTCAATTTAACAGCAACATGAACCAACAGTTTAGGTAATAGATTAGAATATCAAAGGTATCAAGCTTATTAACTACCGAATTGGAAGTTTAAAGTGGTCATTTAAGAGCATACTCTGTCAGGAGGGCAATACAACAGTATTTCCAACTTTGGTCTGAAGAAGTCATTAAAATTCTCGTGTATTAAGAGAAGCCTTACCCTGAGCAATGAAATTCTTCTCAAATTTCTGCAGGAATTCCAGAAACAGCAGGTCATCAGCAGTCAAAGCTTCCTCTCCAACCACAGCTTTCATAGCCTGCACATCCTTACCTATAGCATAGCACGCATACTGAAGAAAGATAAACACCAGTAAGGGTATCTTCAGAAGACTGGGAGGATTTTGGGCATTTTGCCTTTTGAACTTGAGAAAGAAAAGCCAACAGTAATTTCTACACAACACTTAATTTCTGTGCCTGAATGTTGCCTCAGCTTGACTGCACAAATAGGGAGGCGATTGCCTCGTGGTACGATCGCTGGGCTGTTAATCCAGAGACGCAGATAATGTTCTGGGGACGTGGGTTCAAATCCCGCCACGGCAGATGGTGGAATTTGAATTCAATAAATATCTGGAATTAAGAATCAAATGGTGACCATGAATCCATTGTCAATTGTTGGAAAAACCCATCTGGTTCACTAACGTCCTTTCGGGAAGCAAACTGCCATCCTTCCTTGGTCTGGCCTACATATGACTCCAGACCCACAGCAATGTGGTTGAGTCTTAATTGCCCTCTGGGCAATTAGGGATGGGCAATAAATGCTGCTTGGTCAGTGATGCCGTCATCCCATTAATGAAAACAAAAAAGTTTACGTGTGGCTTGGCACACAATTCAGCTTCACACCTCATATGCAGATGAACATTAATACTCATCTGTCCCCACTTCAATCTCCATAATGCTAAGGATTCAGCAGCCAGGGAACTGCTTGAATTAACATTAAATGTTATGGTTTACCTTGTTAAAAAATACAGCGAGGGCATTCAGTAATTATATCTGGAAGAACTTCTTTATACAAAAGGCAGCCACAATCTGGCACTCTCTCCTCCAAAAAAACCGTTATGACTGAATCAGTTGAAAGTTTCAACTGAAATTCTTCAGATTTATGTTTGGCGATTATATTAATGACTGCAGACCCAAGGTGAGCAAATAGAAACTGAAGCACAAATCAGCCAGCAAGCAATTGAATGGTCTGAGGGGCTGAATGGCTCCTCCAGTTTGTGTTTCTTACCAGCTGATTAGAGACATCTGCGTGATCCTTGCGTGTCATTCCCTCTCCTATTGCTGACTTCATCAATCTTGACAATGAAGGTAGCACATTTATTGGAGGATATATCTGTGGGACAGCAGCACAAAATAAAAAACGGAATCACATTACATTGATGGGCATTCTCACACCAAGGTTTTTTCTTTTTAAAAGCAAAGGTAAATTGGGAAAGCTAAAATTTCCTGCTTATGTTGTAAGTGAAATTGATGGTCACAGTTTTTTGTTGTTTTTATTAACCCACTCACTCGTGATGGTGAAGCACCATGATCTTTGCAAGCAATACTTAAAACCAGCACACAACTTGATTGGTTGCAACAGGAATGCCGCATCAGGTGCTTATCCAATGCAAAGATTTACCTGTCGATTGTGTAACTGTCGATCAACATAGATCTGTCCTTCAGTAATATAGCCAGTTAAGTCAGGAATGGGATGAGTGATATCTGCATTCAGTATAGAAAACACCAAGAAAAGAGATTAAGTTTTAGAACAATGTAGACCTTGGAGTTTAATTTATGTTTTGTGCAAAGACAGTGGAAAACCTGGCTTTCGTTCCATTTTTAAAAAGTTACCTTTTATAGTTTGGTACCAGAAGGTCTGGAGGCATGTCTGTTCACGGGTTTTTGATGAGGTTTTACAAAGCTTTGAATTGAAAAGATGGGAGCTGGTGCATTTAAGCAAAGGTAGAGAAAAAAAAAACTACACTACTCCCTCATGACAAGGACCCAGGGACACAAGGAGACAGAAAAATTCACGAGTCAGTCAATCAGTCCATCTTTCAGAAATGCGCTGCAACTTGATAATCTTTTTACTCTGCAAAAACGCATCAAATTGAGTCTGGAACCAACGTATACCGAATTTATAACTCGAGTCCTCTAGTGCTCAAAACCTGAGCGCTTCTCAAAATTTTTAAAACTGTGATAATTCTTTCTGTTCTCATTTCTGTTGGGCTCAGACGCCAGATATCTGTAAACTCTAGCAGTCAGAGCACAATCTATCCCTCGAGGTGTTCGATGGCTACATTCAATTCTGTACCAGGGTATGGAAGTATGAGGGTTTATCTCTCTGGCAAAAAGTCTCACACAAAACTAAGTTTAGTTTAAGTGCCTCAGGGAGAGAATGCTTGCTGAATAGAAGTATTGAATACACTTGCACAAATTCATCATAAGTGAAATGGTCACGATTGTGCCAGCCTGACTGAGAAGCCTAAGTGTGGAGATTGGTGCTTGTGAGGATATTGCTGAGACTGAAAAGAGAACACTGAAACTGAAACTTTTCCAACATTTTAGCCTGGTGAAAAACATGTGTTTCTTGTCAAATAAATGCTTTATTCTTTGTTTAAAAACACACCAGCAGACTCCATGTGTTCAATAACTGATCTCCAGGGTTCAAACAAAGGGACTGGTGGCATGGTGGCACAGTAGTAAGCATTGCTGCCTCACAGCAAGAGGAACCTGGGTTCAATTCCACTCTCGGGCGACTGTCTGTTGGAGTTTCCACATTCTCCCCATGTCTGTGTGTGTTTTCTCCAGGTGCTCCGGTTTCCTTCCACAGTCCAAGCATGTGCAGGTGGATTGCCCATGCTAAATCGCCCATAGTGTCCAGGTATGTTTAGGTTAGGTGGATTAGCCATGGGGAAAAAATGCAAGATTGTAAGGGATAGGGTGGGATGCTCCTCGGAGAGTTGGCGTGGACTTGTTGGGCCAAATGGTCTGTTCCACACTGTAGGGATTCTATGAGTCAATTCAGGTTTCATCCTGGGGACTGGCATATCCAGTATTAAAAATCAGATGGGATCACTACAAAAGTCAATATCTCCACTACCAGATATTGCAGAGAAAAATCCACCTCTCGATGACAGGGCACACAGTGTTGCAGACTAAGAGTCACAATGGATCAAATTTCCTTTTTTTTTTGGCATGGTTTGCCTTGTCGAAGCCCGATGATTAAATTTTCTCAGCTGCTGCTGCAGGTTACAGTTTTAAAGCAAGAGGCAATCAGTTTCATTATTACCCTTTCCCAGTCAGATGAGAAATACATCTCATGTGCTGTACCTCACTCTTCACATTTTTAATGCAAGTACATTAAGTAACACTTAATCCTGGACATATGTTTACAAAAAGAAATGCATAATTTCTCAGCATTTGAAACAGGGGAGACTCAGTCTGCTTTTGGAAAGCACAATTTCACTGTGACAAATGAGTGCAAACAGCAGAACTGGGAGAAACTCTGTCAATGATATAAAAATAATAACCATTGAGAGAAGGTATTGCAATAAACAGGCATCTTATGTTTTCCCGAGCATAACTGCGCCACCATTAGGGACTTTAAGATGCACTGGCTCCAAGCTTCAGAGTTTTGTCCCTTTGTTGCCTCCTTCAAGACACTTGGTAAACGTAATCTCTTGGATCAAGCTGCTGGTCCTCAAATTTCTCCTTGTGTCTTGGTGTGATATTTTACTTGCTCTTGTAATGTTGATTGGAATGTTTCATTTCACACCTGATGTGATAACACCTATCCAGGACTTACTTGGGGCACAACTTCATGAGGATACATTATAAAAAAGATTAAAGAACAGCCTACTATAACGTTTCAAAAGACTTACGGAAAGTTTTTGATAATGTCCAATTCAGTTATCCGGTAGCTGAAAACATTGCACCCAATTTTCTTATGTGGTCCATTGTTAACAATTTACCTCAATTGATTTTGTTTATTCTCTTCCTTTCAAAGGAACTTCCAGTCTACCTAAGGCCCAATGAACATTTGAAGTGATACCGAAAGCACATTTTTCTTCAACAGCATTCATCCCCACTGAGATAATGCTTACCATCATTTGGCATGGTTAGGATGGGGATCTGTGTGATGGAACCATTCCTGCCCTCTACACGTCCAGCTCTCTCATAAATGGTGGCCAAATCGGTATACATATAACCAGGGAAACCACGACGACCAGGCACCTCCTCTCGAGCTGCTGAGACCTAGCATGATTGAACAATTCGACAAAATATTATCAGCTTAATTACATAGTGATACAGTGGGCAAGTGTGATGGGTACAGCACAATAAATTGACTCTGTCAACCAGATATATTGCAAGGAAAATGCAGAAGACGGGAACTCTGACAGGTCTGTCAGCAATTCTTAAAATCTAACTGTTAATTTTATCACTATATTTACAAGTTGTTTTTTATTCATTTACACTTTTTATAAGTTTATTTTAGAGATTTTGCTGTTACTGCATGTGCCCCAGGTTGTCAGCAGATGCAGCCATGCACAACACTGCAGCAACATCTTAAGCAAATTCAAGAAGCAAAAAAAGCATGGAAATTTCTTAGACTGCATTATCCCCCTCTCTGTGAAAGTGAATGTCTCAACAAACTTCCATCGACTACCTAAAATTTAGCAGATTTCACAAAGAGCTGTTTCATTACACTGCTGTCAGCTACCCTGGCTGGAAATACAGCAACACATTTCCCGGTGGAAAGAATCCATAGACATTATATTCAATACACATATCTTATACAGAATGTTTAACAAGGCTGTTCAATTAATCAGTTGGACATTATTTTTGCAAGTTCATTTCAGTCTCCTTGTCTGGATTTACCTCTCTGAGAGCCTCTGCATATGAGCTCATGTCAGTGAGAATAACCAGCACATGCTTTTCACACTGGTACGCGAGGAATTCAGCTGTCGTCAGTGCAAGGCGAGGAGTGATAATACGCTCAATGCTGTGAGACATAAGTCAACATTTACTGCAGAAATAACAAAGCTTCTAGAAATAAAAAGATGCATTATTTGACCAAGAAAGCAGTCCATCTTTCAGAAATGAGCTCCAACTTGACAATCTTTTCAGTCTGCAGAAACGCATCAAATTGAGTCTGGAACCAACTTATCACGAATATCTAACCCGAGTTCGCTATTTTTTAAACCTGAGCAAATGTCAAAATGTTTTAAACGTGAGGAATTCTTCTCTTTGTTAGTATTTTTTGTGATCAGAAGCCAGATATCTGTAAACTCTAGCAGTCAGAGCACACACTATCCCATCAGTTACTCAATGGGTACTTTCAATTCTGCACATAGACATTTCAGAGGGTCACTGAAAAGAGGAGTTCAAGGGTTACAGGTAGTTGAGAAAGTCAGTGAGGATGTGGGGCAGGAGAAGAGCGATAGAGACAGAGAGCAACTACATGTTAGGAGTGTGGCAGTTTGCTATGCTGCTGCAAATACAGCTGAACCGGCCGGATTCAGTGTAGGGGGTCACTGAGGTGTCAAAGGCTGTTGGATTTTTCCATGCTCTAAGAACTCAGGAACTAGAAGCAGCAAAGTGTTGGAGTCGGGAATCAGAATCTGTCATGAGGAGCCAACAAAGTGGGATGGTGTTGGGAGAAGCCATGAAGGGACTGGAAGAAGCTGTGAGCATTAATGCTTCAGTGAAGCTCAGAAAAAGGGACTGAAAAGCTAACATGCAGCATGTGCTTGATGCAACTGAGCAAGCTTGGAGCAAGGCAAAAACAGAGGACTGGCTTGGTGAACCTAGCTGTCTGTGAAGAGCCAGAGTATGCTTCTTACCAAGTACTGGAGTGCAGTTTCAGATCAAACTGAAAGCACAGACAACATTCAACCCTCAACTCAAGCATCGGCTTAAACAAATCATATCTTCCCGACATTATGGAATGCATCTCAAGGCCTCAATGAACAGCAATACTGTCCACTCCAGCATATTCAGGTCAGTGGAATTCTGACATAAATTCTGTTGTAAATGAGAATACGGTGGGAGAAACTGACTTACGTTGGGTCATTAGCTAGATTCAGGAATAGACACACATTGTCCATCGACCCATTCTCCTCAAAATCCGACTTGAAGAATCTGGCTGTCTCCATGTTTACCTTGAAGGAATAGCATTTTGTTGTAACTTTTTGGACTAATTCATTTTCTCATCGCAAGAGTGGGCTTTCATAGAATAGAATTACGGAACCCTACAGTGCAAAAGCAAGCCATTCAGCCCATTGAGTCCACACCGATCCTTTGAAGAGCATCCCTACCCATTCCCATCACCCCCAACCCTATCCCCAATAATCCAGCATTTCCCATGGCTAATCCATCTGAACTACACATCCCTGGATACTATGGGCAATTTAGTATGGCCAATCACCTAATCTGCACTTTTTTGGACTGCGGGTGGAAACCAGAGCATCCAGAGGAAACCCACACAGACACAGAGAGAACATGCAAACTCCACACAGACAGTCGTCTGAGGGTGGAATCGAACCTGAGTCTCTGGCACTGCGAGGCAGCAGTGTTAGCCACCATGCTGCAGACTTTCTAGTTTGACTCAAAAAGAACTGATTTAAGCAAAAAGAAACTCGTGTTTGACGAGACTTCTTGTTGCACCCTAGCCTCTCAATTTAGGGTCTTCCTCTACTCTCACAAGATGGAGGTACTCTAAATAGATAAAGTAGGCATGGAGGGCATCATCAAGTTGACCAACTACTCATAATAAAACTATGGGTTGTGTACAGGCTATATGTCTCAATGACCTCAGTGGGCCCGAAAGAGAAATTAAATTTCCAAGATCTCCACCTGATTCAGCCTCCAATACATCATCTCAAACTCATGTATTTCCCAGAGTGTCTCCACTAGCACTGTGTGGAGGTTCCTCTCCCTGCTACCTCAGTAGGATTTGCTGCAGTTAGCAAAAAACATGGCAGGCCTGTGTGACTGGAATATATGCAGATTAGTAATAGTCGCAACAAGTTGAAAACACAGATGCCATTCCAACTTTCTCTGCTTCTGTAGCCTAAGTAGCAATTTTCTGGACTCTATGCCTTTTTTCTCTCAGTTGATAAATGCTACCAAGGGAATTTCAACCAGATCATTGATTAAACAGATCATAGAGTCTGGGCAGATTGTTCAACTTGTCAGTGGACAAAATTTTGATTGTTTGAAAGTTGGGAGGTGTTATTAAATACTTACACCCATTGCAGCAAACACAATGGCAAAGTTCTCTTCAGTATAATCCATAACATCTTTGCTTTTTCTGACAAGACCAGCCTGACGACAGATCTGGGCAGCAATCTATAAATAGACAACATATCAGGATCACCATGACTGAACATGTTATTGTTACCACAAAATAAGATACAGCTTACTGACCTCTTTGATGATATCTATTCTGTGCCATTTATATGAAATATCCCCATTAAGCTGGCATGTTGTATTTCAAATAATATAGTCTACAATCCAAATGTTCAACATACCACAAAATTTTCAGTGCCCAACATTTCATTCAATGATGTAAGCTCATGCTTAACATGACTACACTGTCTCTTTTACACTGTATTTTGGCATATCTGGCCACAACAACCAAACGACAGCTGCAGAGGAGCTCCAAATAGGGACCCTCAGTTTCACACAAATTCTTCATTATTTTAGGGTTCTCCCATATTCTCCTTCAGCAATGCATCAGAGTAACTGACCACATCCTATTCCTTGCCATTGTTCTAGTTGGTCTTTGCTTGTCCAACACCAAGCGGAACTCTTTGTTCTTACTGGAGTCAACTGAGATGGTTAAATGCTCCGCGCAGCTGTGGCCTCAACTCAAAAGATTCTGTGTACTATAATGTGGCAATATAGACAGGTTCTCACAAATATAAAGGTTCAGTCAGGTGAGTGCCTCATCTGATTGTTTTCAGAGAAATGAGTGGGCTCCGTCACTGACCTCATTGTGTGGTAAACCAGCAGCTGAGAAAATGGGTATTTTCTGTCCGCGCGCAATACTGTTCATGCCATCTATAGCAGATATTCCAGTTTGAATCATCTCCTCAGGATAGATACGACATTGAGGATTTATTGGCTGACCTGAGAAATTATGAAGAAAACACAATTTAAACAAAATTATTTGTAACCAGCTACAAAGATGATGGGAGATCTTGTCACTGAAGTGCAACATCTCGCAATCTGCGCCTTCAGTTCAGTCTTATTTCCTCAACATTCAAAACTGCTATGCCCTGTAAGTAACTGGAAAGAAAAGCAAGTAATTACATGGCAAAAGCATCAGGGAATCTGGGATTTGAATGAGCAATGATATAAACAGCGCACTTTGATAAATATTTTACGATTCAAGTATATTAAAATGTAAAAAATAACAGAGGGGAAAATGGGACCAACTAGAGTCAAATAAAGAGAGGTGAAAAGGCAACAATTGAGATTCTATTGAAAGAGAAAAGGGAGACAGGAAAGAACAAGTCTCAACTTATTATAAAGCAAGTTTTATGACCCGTATCAATGAACCTGACAACTTTCAAGCCTGGAGCAGTCAAGCCTAATTCAGGAACATAAATCCCAATATTAAACGAAAATTGTCTGAAGTAGTTCTGGGTCAAACTGACTTCTTTACTGAGCAGAAAGCAGGCTGTCGTTTTGTGGGGCAAAATAAAGCATGGAGCAGGTTTCAGAGATTAAAAATTCACCAAGTGCTTCTTTTCTGCGATGGTATGCAGAAAACAGACAAATGCCTGTGCAATAAACTCACCATTACTTGCTGCAAAATATGAGCGAACAATTGTTTGTTAAAAATTTGTCAAAATTTGGCAGTTTGTTGTGATGTGTCAAGTCTTCAGAAGTTCCTCACATGAATCATTTTAAGTCAGGGGCAGAGAAAGTAATTAACCTCTGCACGCTAAGCATGAATCAAGAGAAGCATCAGTCTGTATTTAGTGATGTTAGTTGAGGAAAAAGTGTTGATTAGACCACAGAAAGAACTTGCTGTTATTCCTTGAATCATACCATGGGATTTCAATACTCACCTCAGGAGCAGATAATCTTTGTTTAATATGACAATCGAAATATGTCAGCATGATATTACAGGATTCACTCCGTATTGGACTCAAGATTTCATTTAGGTTATTTTCCCTCAAAGCCAAGTGACATTTTGTGTAGAAATTTGACTCAAGAGAGGTTTGAAACAAAGGTTACATCATCATGCTCATGTTGTTCAATGGTTTGCATGAATTTTGCTCGTAAATCTTTTTTTCCACTACATTTATCCTTATTGCCCTTGGGTTTCAGAAGAGACAGTTGAGTAGAGTTGCTGTCTTTCATCATTATCTACTGGGCAGTGCAAGGATCTATGTGAATGTAAATGGTCATCAGACGGTATTGTGAGGGACCATGCAGTGAAATATGTTCAGCACTGACTGACTAACTTATGGAGGAACAATGTCCACAAAATTCAAGTCCCAGAAATCTACTAAAATCATACCTGAGCCTAGATCAGCACTTCTGGAATAACTCTGGACAAGTAATTAGTTTTTAATTTTATTACGTTATTTATAGGAATAAAAATATTCCCATACCCATAATATCCAAGTAGTCCTCAGCAAGCACAGTGGGACCTCTGTCTATTGGCTTTCCAGACCCATTGAAAACACGACCTGAAATAAACAGAAAAGTTACATTTTATATTCAAGCTTTGAAAACAATATTTCTTTATTACTCCAATGAGTGTTCAACAAAACATACTTTCCATTTGCAATACCAGACACAGAGAGAAACCCAGATCTGCACTATGTTAGATTATGCCCATTTGGAGATGTGGGTTTGAATCCAATCAACCAACTCATTCTGATACAGCATTAACTCAAAATAGTTTCCGTAGATTTCATAAGATTCTTGCTGAGCACTGGCTTTCAACACATAAACCTCAGAAATTGGCTCAATCAACTGGAACTAAAAATAGAGGGAAAAAATCTGAAGTCACGCACTCTTCTTTAGCCAAATGATATTGCAATGGACTTTGAACCAGTAGCATCTCGGAAATATTTGATGTTGTGATCAGTCATCAGCACAGAAAAAAATTAATATTTTGCACCTGATCAGCAAAAAAATTTTCAAAATTGCAGGGGTTGATTGGAGTAGTTTGCTTACAGGCAAAGGGACCTCTGGCAAGTGGGAGGCCTTTAAAAGTATGATTGTTAGAGTTCAAGATCTTTATGTTCCTGTGAGGGTGAAGGGCAAGGTTGGCAGGGTAGGGAACCCTGGATGACAAGAGATATTGAGGTTTTGACCAGAAAAAAGGAGGCATGGCTCAGGAGCAGGCAGCTGGGATCAGGGGAATCCATGGAGGTATACAAGGGATACCCAAGTTTACTGAAGGAGGAAATCAGGAGGGCGAAAAGGGGGCATGACATAGCTTTGGCTGAGAAGATTAGGGTGAATCCAAAGAGATTGTATGTTAAAGGAAAAAAAAAATACAGAGAGAGAATAGGACCCCTCAAGGACCAAGGTGGAGATGTATGTGTGGAACCGCTTGAGATGGGCGAGTTCCTCTTTGTTTAGCGTGGAGGAACACATGAAGACTTGGGAACTTGGGGAAGTTGGCAATATCTTGGGAACAATCCATATCACAGTACAGGAGGTGTTGGAAATATTAGAATGTACGAAGGTGGTCAGGAAGAGGCTCAGGAAGAAATTGCAGGGGCCCTGGCTGATATATTTGCATAGTCGTTAGCCATGAGTGAAGTCCTGGGAGACTGGAGGGTGGTGAATGTTATGCCGTTATTCAAGAAGGACTGCAAAGAAAAACATGGAAATTATAGAGCAGTAAGCTTAACATCTGTGGTAGGTAAGTTACTTGAGAAGATTCTGATGGATAAGATATACATGCATTTGGAAAGACAGGGCTTGATTAGGAGTAGTCAGCATGGCTTTGTGTGTGGGAGATCATCTTTGATGAAGTGACCAGGAAGGTTGATGAAGGCAGGGCAGCAGACATAGTCTATATGGATTTCAATAAGGCCTTTGATAAGGTGCCACAATGGTAGGCTGCTCTGGAAGGTTAGATCACATGGAATCCAGAGAGAGCTGGCAAATTGGACACAATTGGCTTGATGGTAGGAAGCAGAGGGTAATACTGGAAGGATGCTTGTCAGACTGGAGGCCTATGACTAGTGATGTGCCTCAGGAGTCGGTGCTGGGCCCATTGCTGTTTGTTATCTGTATTGATGATTTGGATGAGAATGTACAAGGCATGATTAGTAAGTTTGCGGATGATACGAAAATAGGTGGTACCGTCGACAGTGAGGAAGATTATCAGAAATTGCAGCAGGATCTTGATCAGTTGGGGAAGTGGGCCAAGAAATGGCAAATGGAGTTTAATATAGATAAGTGTGAGGTGTTGCACTTTGGAAAGTCAAATCCAGCTGAGAGTTTTATGGTGAATGGTAGTGCCTGAAGGAGTGTAGAGGAAGAGAGGGATCTTGGAGTTGGGGTGCACAGTTCTCTGAAAGTGGAGTCACAGGTAAACAGGGCAGTGAAGAAGACTTTTGGCACACTGGCCTTCATCAGTCAGGGTATTCAGTATAGAAATTGGGAAGTTATGACGCTGCTATTAATGACATTGGTGAGGTCACACTTGGAGTATTGTGTTCAGTTTTGGTCACCTTGCTTTAGGAAAGATGTTATTAAACTGGAAAGAGTGCAGGAGATATTTACAAAGATGCTGCCAGGACTCAGTTATAGGGAGAGGTTGGACAAGCTGGGACTTTTTTCTTTAGACCATAGGAGACTGAGGGGGATCTTATATAAGTGTATAAGACCATGACAGGCATGGAAAGGGTGAATGCACTCAGTCTTCCGCCCAGGGTTGGGGAATCGAGGATTAGAGGGCATCAGTTTATGCTAAGAGGGGAAAGAATACATGGAAGCCTGAGGGGCAACTTTTTTTACACTGAGGGTGGTACACATATGGAATGAGCTGCCAGCGCAAGTGGTTAAGGCGAGTACATTAACAACATTTAAAAGGGATTTGGACAAATACATGGATAGGAAAGGTTTAAAAGGATATGGGCCAAGTGCAGGGAAATCGGCTTAGCGTGGATGGACATTTTGGTTGGCACGGACCAGTTTGGGCCGAAGGGCCTGTCTCCACGCTGTAGGATTCTATGACTCTAAATGAATTTTAAAAGCAAACTTTCAATTCAAAATAAATTGCATTGTACTTTTGTAGAAGTACTGTTAAATCTTAAACGCTTCCATGGTCATTCTCCAAGTCCTTTCAGGCATAATGTCTCATTCACTTTTCAAACAGAATGAACAAAAACACTATGTTATTATGATCGACAGATGATTTCTCAACATTAAAATACTTTCCTTTTTATCAATAACTAACCAGGAATGCAATCAGCATATAATGTGCACAAGAGGGAGACAACATAACACTTTACATATGGATGCAGATTACTGGCACTGTGCAGCTTGACATCCGCCTTTGGTCCTAAGGCACAACTGTATATCCACTGTCATTCACTTCCAGTTTGATTAAATTCAAGAACAGCTTGTCAATCCAGACTCCATCTTGACAATCACTATCTTAAGTGCACTCAGCATTTGAGGTCATGGTATCCTGGACACTTACCAAGCATATCTTCAGACACTGGAGTACGCAGAATGTCTCCAGTGAACTCACAGCTTGTTTTCTTCGCATCAATGCCAGAGGTTCCTTCAAACACCTGTTAAGCAGGTTAAGAAATTAAAAATGCAATAATGCATGAGTGTATAAACCCCTATGAGGTTTATATTTCACTGTCCTCACACACATGGCATATTGAGGAACAACATCCACACAATAACTACTCAGGTTTATTGAACAGTAAGATTATTGACTATTCTTGCTCTGTGCAGAGCAGAGACAATAGGCATCTGTCTGAAATGTTGAACAATGAGAACGTGCCTGCCATTTTCTAGTTTAGTAGAATTCAACAATGAAAGATTTCTCCCAACTGAGTAACTTATGGTCACCCCATTGCTCATTTAACACTGCTCAACTTACCGTTGCTTATGTGGCTCGAGCTCAGATTGTCACCATTTAGGAGCAGCCTGATACAAACCATTGCCACCAAACAATCAGAAAAGATAATCAGAGGCCCAATGAAAAACACTGTAGTGAAGTGACTATTGCTGCATAGGCCTTACTGGCACTCCGAAATAAGTTTCCATCACAACCATGTTCCAAAAACAAAATGAATCAACGCAAGTTTAATAAAGACGTGCCCACACTTCATTTAAAAACAATTACTCCCAGGATGTGGATGGACATTGTTGGCCAGGCTGGGGTTATTTCCAATCTCAAGATGCTTTCATGAGTCAGCCATGGGTCTTGCTGTCGAACTGCTCTGACTATAGTAGTTTTGCCTCTGAAGTGACTTGCCGAAGTAGTTCAGAGGTCAGTTTAAAGCCAACTCCCTTGTGTTGCTGTTGTATCTTGTAAGGTGTTGGTGTCACATTTCTTTCTCTGAAAGGACATGGATTCTACCAGTTTTGTGACCACTTTTATCAGCACCAGCTTTTCATTTCCAGATTTAACTGGAAATTGCGTTCAAATTCTCAAACTGCCATGGAAGGGAGTGCAATTTGACTCATGCATGTAATTAGTCTAAGGCTACAGATTAACTTACCCTGTCTTACAACCAAAAGAACAATCAAACTAACGTCCAATGTCACAGAACAACAGACTAGAAATTTACCTTTGTGGTTGCTATCAACCTTCAGACTTAGACAGCATCCAGTATATGCCTTAAGTAAAGAAGGGAGCCTCAGAGAAATCACACAAAATGGGGAGAGCCAACAATTCCAACAAAAGTCCAGAGTTCAGACACAAACTAAGAAATTTGCTGAAACAAACGTTGAGAAATGTGAAAAATCATTCAAAAAAACTCCAGGACAATCAATGTACAAACACAGAAGTTATTTCTTTGACCTTAACTATACTTCAGCACCTCAGATTTGAGCCCCTCTTCGAATGCTGACTCAGCTGCTGTGCACATCCAGTATTGTATCATTTGACATCCTGATCAATGTTGAATGTGTGTTATTTATTTACCTGGGTCTAACAAATTGAATGCTTCATCATACCTGAACCACTGCCTTCGATCCACTCACTTCCAGTACCTGCCCGCTGCGCTTGGTGCCATCTGGGAGCGTCAGGTGCACGATCTCAGCATACCTGGGAAACTACAGGTAAAAGGTCAGGATTCTAGTACTTGTATAAGATGGCAGATATTGCAAATATAACATTTTACATAACCTCATCTGGTACTCCAGCAACTTCTAATAAATCAGTCTCAGAAAAAGCACCACTATTTTATATGACACTGTATGCATCTTGGGAATGTGAGGCTTCATCGATGAAGTTAAATGAAACACAAATTCACAAGCTGCCAAGTTAGTTGTGAAACTTAGTACGTTCTTTAGATTATTAACGAAGGCCTGCAAATTACTTGTCTATCAAAATAACATACCATAACTACTATACTGTCACACACAAACCGAAAAACATTCAGAAATTATCTAGATATCACTGCAGATGAATAAGACAGCATTTGTAAAATTACAAAATCCTACTATGCAGGAGGAGGCCAAATGCAAACTTGTGCCTGTCCTGCTTCTTTTAAGAGGTATCCAATTTCATACAGCTTTCAGCTTTTATCCTGTTAACTGTGACAATTCACTTTCTTCAAGTCCATGTCCAAATACCTTTCCAAAGTTCCAACTGAATATGATTTCAGCAACATTTGGTGTGGTACTTTCCAGATCTAAATTGCTCTCTATTTTCATACGCTGATCATGTTAAATCAAGAAACCCCTGTTCTTGACCCACTCAGTGACAATCTCTGTTAAAATTCCTCATTCTTTTGAAGAGGTCTATTGAAATGCCCTGCCATCTTCTGTACCCAAACAATTCCAAATTATCCAACCTATTTCCACAGCAGATGTCTCGAAGGCCTGGTGTCATTCTGGTAAACTTGCTCTGTATCCTCTCGAAAGCCTTGACAACATGGCACAACTGCACATACAATCCTTCATCAGTGATTCAGCCAATGATCTGTAAAGGTTTCGCTTGAATTCCTGCTGCCTATACGCTTGCTTAAAAGCTTTGTCAACTTACTGTGTCACCTTCAAAGAGGTATGAACATGCATCTATGTTCTTCCATCCCCTCACAAGCCAGTCAATTGCGTGATACTGCATCTCCATGTTTTTCCTTCCAAGATGTGCCACTTCACATTTGCCTCCCATATGACTGCTCGTTTCTCCACTGTCACTGCACTTGACAGGTCTGCTACTATCCTGCTTAATATTTACTACATCGCCAAGTTCTGTTTCATCTGAATTTCAGAACTATATTCCCTTTACCCAACTCAAATGAACTTGTCAACGATAGGCCAGCAGTCATTGTTCATCCCCAACTGCTCTGGAGGTGGTGGTGTCAGGATGCACGATACACATTCCAAGATTTAGCCATAGAAGCCATTCAGTAGCTGCAATATATGCACATCAGTCTGGTGTGTGACTTGGTGGGTAAAGGAAGTGATGGTATTCTCTTGAACCTGCTTCCTTGACTTGACAGTTTAGGTCACAGGTTCTGGAGAAGCTGTTGAAGAAGCCTTGGTGGGTTGTTGCTATGCATCTTGTGAACACATTCTGCAGGTTCAAAAGAACCAAGTCACAGCAGAATACAGATCTAATACAACTAACACAAGATTTTCTGAAAACTGAGCAAGACTAGAAAATAAAACAACATGCAGGGCTTAAACATTTTAAGAGTAACACTAACTAAGAGAGGAGAAGTAACGATATACATGAAAGACAGAAAATATTCTTCATGATTTTTGAAGGACACAAGAGATGTTCATAATCAACAAAACATAAATTCAAATTACAAATGAAGTTGGGTGACAGGTTCTAAACTGTGGAAACTAAAAGGAAGAGGAAACCAATGTACAAAATGCAGAAGAGTGCAGAGAAGAAGTATTATTTTAAGATATTTTAATTACATTTGGTTTTGGACAGCATGCCAACACCAAAAGTAGAACAAGGGAAATATAATTCCTAAAACATGCAAATGGATCCTTCCTCAGAAAGGTTATTTGTATGTTTACAAGATAAAGTGCGTTGTTAAGATTTAGTTATTTGTTTCAAAATAAATCAGCTGCAGGAGACAAAAGGGGCTGAGCATCTCAGGAATAGTGACTGTAATATGATGTGACTGCAGGTCAAAATAGGATATTACAACTGAAATTAAGATAGAACAAAGCAGATAAAAATGATGATGACTCAGAGCACTGAGATTAAAAGGCAATTGGGAATACAGAATTCCAAGTCAACGGAATGAATTTTTAAAAAGCAAACTGAAAAACTGTATTCATTTATTCAATGGATGTGGACGTTAATAGCAAGGCCTGAATTTCTTGCCCATCACCAAATGTCCTTGAGAAGGTGGTGGTGGTGAGTCACCTTTGTAAAAGGTAGTGGTAATGGTACAACCACAAGAAGGGAATTCTAACATTCTGACACAGCCACAGCAACAATTTAGCAATAGTTCAAAGTTTAAACAAAATAAGGCAGAAAAAATATATGGCACTAAAAATCAGGATTATTTCAAGTTTCAAATTACTACTAATAAATAGAGATGAAGCACAAACTAAACTTGAACCATTGTGATTAAAAAAAATTACACGTCGATTGCAGGAATACTGGGTACCATGGTAAAGTACAGGCATTTATGTCCAAGTCACATATCACAAAAAAACTTCCTGAAATGGCAAAAAGTAGACAATGCAGCAGTTAAATGGAAATATGTTGAAACAAAAATGGCTGGATACAGATTCTTACTCTCATGGTGGGTTTGACAAAATAACATTACAGTGAAAAAACTTCAAAATTGGAACCATTACCTGACAGAAGGAATTCAAGAGATGATTAAAAGAATAGTTTATGAAGGAATGGGACAGACAACATAGATCTGACTGTTGCCAGTGATTAGATGGACCGAGGAAGAGAGACATAGATTTAAGATTTAAAAGTAAAAATATTTCAGCAAAAGTGAAGAGGTAACTTTTTTTTGGGAACAAGGTATTGAGGCTGGGGAGTTGGTGAGAGAAGCGAAGACGACATTAACATTTAAAAACAGATCGGTGGAAAAGGAGAGAGGGATATTGCAATAGGGCAGTTGCCTGGGATGATAATAATTGTTTGCATGAAGGATATCCAAAGACTGGATGTGATGAAACAACTACGGGATGCTAACCAACTTGACAGAAAACATTAAGCTCTGTACCTTCACTTGGTCCAGGATTACCAAGGGCCCATTGACACCAGATACAGTCTTGTAAGCTGCAAAGTAAAATGCTGCATTAGTTGTTATATCTACATAATTGAACACAGAATTTTATGACTGGATTGCAGAAACAATGTTAAATTTGATGAATTTGAAATTTGTGTTTCCAAAATGCAAGCTTGTGCATATTGTAAAGGCACAAGTGGAATTTTGCAGCACCTGATTTTACATTGGCAACGTTATGCCCATATGTTCCAAATCTTGAGTTAGAACTGGTTTTAGGTTTTGGGATTTGAGTCAGATATTTTAGGACATCAGTGCATTGCTAGTATCAAAGCAGCCATGGTCAAGCCCATTCATTACTTCAGAAGGGATGCACAACCTATGGGCTTGTAAAAGGGCCAACAGAATGAGAACATCAAATCATTTAAGATGCCGCTATAATAGTCAATAATAATTAAATAAGAAATGAGTCTGTATCAAACCCCATCTTCAAGAATACTCTGAACAACCAAATCATCAATGTTGTTAATAGTGAAACAGAAACAGAAAAAGCTGAAGAAATAGGTAGCAAGAGAAAGGGTAGATGATCCACTTTGAATGTGAGAAAGACAAATCAGAATACTTCCTTCATGGAGAGAAACTGGGAGCTGAGGAAGAACAAGCCTATTTCGAAGTTCCTGAACACATCATGAAAAACTAGTCGGTGGGTACAAAGAAAAGTCTGAAAGATGAATAAAATGTTCGTCCTTCTAAGGAGGAGTTTGTTATGCAAAGGGAAAAAGTTATGCGTTCATTGTGCAGAATTTTCATCAGATCACCTATGGGATTGGGTCAGTTTTGGCAACCAAACCTCAAAATGAACATTGACGGGGTGCTACAGATTTATCAGAATTGTAATTGAACCTTTCAACTTATGGTATACAGGCAAATAGCATATATTCCAATTGTACACCTTTGAGTTTACAGAATTCAGAGTGATCTAAGCAAGATATTCAAAATGATTAAAGGGTAGATGCAGAGAAACAATTTGTTCTGCTGGAGGAATTCAAAATAGGAGGGCAATCATCTCAA